AGCGAGCTCCTGCCGCTCCCGCCGAACACTGGTCAGCTCCTTGGTAAGGGTGTCCAGCCGCTGTCTCAGCTGACGAACCTCGTCACGAGCGCGGTTACGCTCTGCACGAACCTGAGAAACATATAGTAGTCAACATTCGTGCATACAGGATGAACTAATCAGCCCTAAACCCACTGATTTACCAGAAAACACACATCTTTAAAAACAATTCATGAATATGTAGTTTAATTTTTTTAAAGGCTCTTTATTTCCTAAAACAGCTGGGACAGTCTATTTTTCAAATAAGAGGGCATAGTGCATTTGTGGGGACTGTTTTCTGCAGTAGGTCTAGTGAGCACATCTGGCAGCAGGACAGTGTACATGGAACTGAGTTAAAACTAACTATAGTGCGGGTGATGATGAAGGAATATTTCAGTCAATACAATGAAGTGGCGCAATTTTTGTACAGCACTGGGGCTCTGTGGCAAAGAGGAATAAAATACAGTGGCCTCAGCAAGTGTTCGGACCCCACAAGAATGAGGAAAAATATCCTCTTTGCTAATGAGTAAAAAACTGTCTTCAGTACAGTGCCTTGCGAAAGTATTCGGCCCCCTTGAACTTTGCGACCTTTTGCCACATTTCAGGCTTCAAACCAGAGCACCTTCTTCCACATGTTTGGTGTGTCTCCCAGGTGGCTTGTGGCAAACTTTAAACGACACTTTTTATGGATATCTTTAAGAAATGGCTTTCTTCTTGCCACTCTTCCATAAAGGCCAGATTTGTGCAGTATACGACTGATTGTTGTCCTATCGACAGAGTCTCCCACCTCAGCTGTAGATCGCTGCAGTTCATCCAGAGTGATCATGGGCCGCTTGGCTGCATCTCTGATCAGTCTTCTCCTTGTATGAGCTGAAAGTTTAGAGGGACAGCCAGGTCTTGGTAGATTTGCAGTGGTCTGATACTCCTTCCATGTCGATATTATCGCTTGCACAGTGCTCCTCGGGATGTTTAAAGCTTGGGAAATCTTTTTGGATCCAAAGCCGGCTTTAAACTTCTCCACAACAGTATCTCGGACCTCCCTAGTGTGTTCCTTGTTCTTCATGATGCTCTATGCGCTTTAAACGGACCTCTGAGACTATCACAGTGCAGGTGCAATTATACGGAGACTTGATTACACACAGGTGGATTCTATTTATCATCATTAGTCATTTAGGTCAACATTGGATCATTCAGAGATCCGCCCCAAGTGACTTACAGCTGTAATCGCAGCAAAAGGTGGCGCTACAAAGTATTAACTTAAGGGGGCTGAATAATTTTGCACGGCCAATTTTTCAGTTTTTTATTTGTTAGAAAAGTTTGAAATATCCAATAAATTTCGTTCTACTTCATGATTGTGTCCCACTTGTTGTTGATTCTTCACAAAAAATTACAGTTTTATATCTTTATGTTTGAAGCCTGAAATGTGGCAAAAGGTCGCAAAGTTCAAGGGGGCCGAATACTTTCGCAAGGCACTGTATGTCTTCTCAGCAGCAGGGAAAGGGAGACTGGTCAGAACTGGAGGAAGGTTTTGGTCACTGGAAGGGAATTGCTGACCAAGGATTCCCTAAAATGATACTTTATGTTTAGGAGAAAACTAATTGGTTTTAGATAAATACCGAAAAATGTTCATCATTCTTAAGTTTCCAGAAAGCCTTTCAGGATATTGTTGTGATATAAAATGTACATGTTAATACAAATCTATACTATATGTACATAACTTTTAGATGGCTGGATATGAAACAGCTGAGGTATAACTGCTATGGCAAGGCCCCTGTGTAAACACACAAATGGATTTTCTTTTAAAACAAAAATAATGTAAACTCAAGTTTCACAGGTTTCAATCACATCTCAGGGTCTTCATTAGCAGCTGGACACTGTTCAGTCTCAGGTTAAACGTTACAGAATATGTTTGGAAGTGATCTTGAGTGAACAGTTTTTGTGTAATGCAACTGCTGTCATCCTGAAATTATTCACTATAAAAGCCACTCAAGTTATGACAGAAATTCAACTGTATTTCAACCATTTTACTTATTTTGTAATCTTTAATGTGTCTTTTATGTTGTATGTTTTTTAAATTTTATTTAATGAGTACTTCTGCTTGGTCTGATAGTAGGCACTCTGTACTGCATTGAAATACAACATTATGTATATCACATAAAACTACGATACACATAAAACTATGAAAATCTATTGGCAACATTTTGTGGAGCACAGTGTTAAACCAACATTATAAAATCTAAAATCGAATTTATTCCAATTTATCAAATTAAATAATTAAAATTAAGCATAAAATCTACTACTGCCAAAATGTACATATGCATTAGTAAATGTGTGCACAACTTGTTGGTCGGAATTATTACACAATGTGTAATAATCAGTAAACCACAATAATTATCTGGGAACATCACTACTGTATAATAATTTACAGCTGCTCATTATCATCTCTCAGCCCACCTTGCTCCACTTCTCTCTCCAGTTGGCGGTGCAGTCTGACCACCACCTCATAGTCTTCTCCATCTGAGCTGCTCTGGCCCGAGCCTCCTCCAGCTCCCTGAGCCTCAGCTCCTCTCTGCTCTCCCAGTCAGCCCCGGCTCCATCACCCAGGGATCCCAGGCCAAGGCCTCCCAGTCCGGGTGACAGCAGCAGTGGCGGGCTGGAGCTGGGGGTTCCCCCTGTGGGGCTGGGTGTGTGGGTGAGGCTGTCTGGGGAGCGGATGCCCCTGTCAGACCCAAGACCCAGGCTACACAGCAGACCACCTCCAGCCGTCTTACCGCCTTCTGAGAGTTGGGGGCTGGGAGTGTGGTTCATGATGAAGGTGATGTGTGAATGAAGACAGGACGATAAACAATCAGGAGAGCTTCATCCTCTTCAGTCACTGATTAACCTGAAGACAGACACACAACAATGGGAAGAAATGTAAGCACCTATTGAAGGAAAATAAACCTTACATGCATGTACAGCTGTTACCCTCATATGCCTTGAAAATCTGCCCAATTTGTGGATGAAACAATTCAAGGTTGATCAAAAATAAATACATAAAATAAAATAAAGAATCTAACTTTAGAACACAAACAGTCCATGGACATCACTGACAGATCTCATCATTGCCTTTGGGGAGGAGAAATCTTTGCTCTCTGAACTTAATAAAGAAATGCTGCACAACTGGTGCACATGACTGACTGAAACTACTTTTATTATTTAATGAGAAGCATCTCTATGCCAAACAAAAACCAAATGGCCGTGAGAACACAAGCAGAAATTCAGACGGGAAGAAATCTGAACGTAAAACTTCAATGCACAGACCAACGGTATGTGACCTCTGTCCAAGGATTCTCACTAGACCATTAAAGACTTGCTGGAAGAAAAGAAAAATCTGGCACTTACTGGACACCAGATACTCCTGTTTGCATTCATCTCTGCTCTCCCTTAGCAGCCTGTTTCATCACCCTGTCATTCCACTATATTCATTTTGACTTGAGACAGAGATTGCTGAAACCTACAGAGGCTGAGCACACACCACAAAACTGCATTTCTATAAACGTACAATGCACTGAATGACAGTCCTAAGGAGCACATGACTGAAGACATTACAATGGACACCACATGGACTTTGTGTTGATACCCAAATGCCAAAAACCAGAGGGAACAATTGAAACCAATAAATGAAAAAAGAAAAAAAACTGCAAAAGGGCAACATGTGGATACAGTAGTGGATGCAGGAAGGCCTTTCAACCCTGCAGGCAAAGGTGGAGGTGAGTGGAATAGAATGAGGGGAACTGTGTACTGGTCTGGGTTATATCACCCATGGCACCTCACATAATTTTATGCTTTGAATGCAATGTTTACCCAGTTTGTAAAGTCGTGTCTATACAAAAAGTGTTTCAGCCTAATTTTTGACGCGCATTTAGTCAGGGCAGATTTTGTCTCCTCATGGTAACTGTACTTTGCTGTCCGAGAGGGAGGCGCTGAGCCACGCCTTCGTGGAGCATAGAGCAGCAGACAGTGAGACGTCAAAGTTAGTCTGGTAGAGGAGAAGGAGTTCATCCATTTTGTTGGCTAGAGAACAGAGATTCGCTAGACGGATAGATGGGAGTGGCATCTGGGTCCCTTTCTGTTGTAACTTAACCAGGGCCCCCGCTCTCATCCCTCACTGGTGCTTTCTCCAAGTCCCATAGAAGGCTGCTGCCCCTCTGACCAGAATGTCCACAGCTTTTTGCATTAGTAAAAATCCGAGAAAATGTGTTCAGAGTGAGTTGTCTAATGTTTAGTAGCTCTTCTCTGGTGAAGGTAATCCGTGATAGGTTGTAGAGGGCCGAGAGAATGAGGAAAAACAACAAACACATTAGTGAGTGTACCAAGGCAGCCACACATTGAGTCATGACTTGCAAGTGGGCACCTTTTTGCTATCACAACTTTATAAAGTGACAACATGTGCTACAGGTTGCTGTGTTGCCCTGAAGTGCCCAAACTACTTTAATAATGCAGTATGAAGTATCTTTGATCCTATTCCACATAACATAAAGCCCCATGTCTCTGTGTGGTACAAAGCCCTGTGTTTTAGAAAGTAGGAATTTTCCTATGACCAGCTCATCTCACCCTGCAGGTTTTAAAAGAACTAAATAACAGGCACCCCACCCCCACCCCACAACAAAACAGTTATACATAAAATGATGTCATTTGCCGTTTACGATGTGGCCACTTTTGGTAATATGTTAATATTTCTTATTCACCTTTAGTTTTATCTTACTATACTCCACTACATGAGTAGGTTCATACTTCATTCCCATGTTTTGTTATTTCTTCCCAAATACTCGCTAGTGTTTCAATAACCATTTGCAACAGATCCAGTTTCTGTTTGGTGTAACCTCAGAGATTTGAGGGTGAATGTTGCTGTTATCTCCATTGTCAGTGCCATATTTGACTTGAGAAGTCCTGGAGGAAAATATAACCTCTGGCTGTTGTGAAGTTGGTCTCAAACTCTCTGGGCCAAGAAAAGCTTGCTGCTTCCTGTTGCCCTTCACTTGCTGTCTCCCCCTCTCTCCTCTCCAGAGGAGGCAGAGGAAGTTCCAGAGCATATTCTGAAAAATGCCAACACAAGCTTTTTTTGATACAGAGCCTTCCGATTTCTGCTTTGAAGTAGTATTCAGATGTGTATTCCACAGTTAATCATAGTTCACTGTGTGAAGTCTGCACGTTCTCCCTGTGCCTGCGTGGGTTCTCTCCAGGTGCTCCAGTTTCCTCCCACAGTCCAAAGACATGCAGCTTAGGTTGACTGGTGACTAAATTGCCCATAGGAGTGAGTGTGAGCGTGTGTGGTTTGTCAGTAAGTGTCAGCCCTGTGATAGACTAGCGACATGTCAAGGGTCGACCTGCCTCTCACCCAAAATCAGCTGGGATTGGCTCTAGCTCCCCTACCCCCAACAGCAGTCAAACACCAACACAGCAGCTCATTCAAGAAAAACTCTAAATCTGGATCAATGTATGCAGAACAAAAAAAAGATGAGTGATTGGCTTGATGAGAGCCTGGCAGGTTTCACAAAGAAAGAAAGAAGGAAACTAAAAACAGACATGTTTGCCTTTCAACACAATTGAGTCCAAGACAGCAGTGACACATATAGTCAACCAAAAATTAAACACTTCAAGAAATAAAATAAAAAGCACTCTTTATGAAAACCTCCTCTAAAACCAGTTCAAGGAGCACTATACCACAATGTCATCTTTGAATCAAATTATACTTTATTTCCAGAACATGAAATTAGAGATGACACAAGATGTTTTCCAGAACCTGGCACTTAATGGGGGCTTTGACCAGAGCTTTGAACATTTCTGGATTTCAAAAACATGATTATGACATGTTTTTGCTGGCATTTGTTGGCTTGTTTGTTTGTTTGTTAACAGCATAACTCAAAACATAATGAACAGTATAATGAATTTCTTTCTTTTTGTTCTTTTGTTTTGACAGGTGGCCCATGGAAGAAATTATTAGATTATGGTGCTGATCCATATCATAATTTAAACAGCAATTTTTCACCATTGTGAGTGCTGGAAAGGCAGATGATTGTATGCGAGCTCCCTTGTAACTAAAGTGCACAGCTGTACTTCGAGCACATACAGAGACAAATGTTGATTTGCTTCATTCATTGCCAGTTGAAACCAAGCATTGTCACTCTGTGAGAGACAGGGAGCCCAATGAGGCACCAGCCCAGAGCTGGGGAAAGACCTACTCTATGACAGCCTCCCTAAAAAGAGGCCTTGATATTACTGGAACCAGATGTGTAATGTAAAATGTTACAGAAGCAAAATGTGTAATATACGTATGTTTATTGCTAGGTTAATTAGCTGCAGATTCTGAGATCATTTTTGGGCTTTCGTTAACAGCCGTTAAAAGCTGTTTTCATGTTCTCATTATTTTTATAACTAGAAGGAACTGATGAAGTCAAACTTCTTTCAACTATATAGCAAGTTCAGCTGCTCTTGTGAAAAGATCCCGATAGAATATGTGATTTTAGGCTATCCCAGAAAAAAGGTGGCACTTATGAAAGAAGCATGGCTAACTAATCAATTAAGCAATTTGTGTTCTTGTATGTATGAAGCAACAGATGTGTGCACATGAAGCCAAACCTCAACATGGTATCTAGCACAATAACTAGTGACATCATAACCATCCAATCATATGTATCAAGATACCATTGCTACAAAAAACAATATGAAAATACATGTAAAATTCAAATTAGTGTTAGACGTCCAATCATGAGGTCACAAAAGATGCCATTCATCAACTTAATTAATGCCCAGACACTTCAAAGTGCTGACATTGGGCCAGCCCACATGAAATGAGAGAACATATCACCTGTTCCAGTGTCACTCACTCATGCAATGTGCGGAGGGTCCGGTTCAAATGAGCAGTGTATTAGATATAAATTGTGCTGTAGCAGGACATCACACCAGGTATGTTAATATATTCTTATCAAATATCAGGGTCTTGTGTTATATAATCGATTCCTGGCCTGTCCAGTCCACATGTCGAAGTGTCCTTGAGCAAGACACTGAACCCCCAATTACTCCCGGTGATAAAACCGGTGCGTCAATGTGTGAGTGTTTGTGGATGCGAACAGGAGAATGGCCAAATAGCGTGAAAGCGCTCTTAGTGTGCTGCAATGCATAGAAAAGCGCTATACAAGTATAAGACCATTAACTATTTACCATATAAATATTGCAGCGGTGTGTTTCCCTGATGCCTTTTTAAATTTATTTTGAACAACAGTGGAGGTCTAAAGCACAGATGAATAAAATAATCCAGGACCAACATATTAACACACATTAACAGTGAGTGGAGACAAATAATTGCTAGCTTTTGTCTCTGTATAGGGAGTGTTGAAAGTGCTGTTAAAATAGATTGACCTTTTCCTATAAGAAACAGCAGAATATCAGACCTGTCAGTCAGTAGTGGTCTTTACAACATGGATGTATTAAGAGAACTGGATACTGTGTTCTGAGGTGAAGCCCCATACATTTTGTTTAAATGTGAGTTTGTGTTGTTCACAGAATCAGAGGGGTAGGGATGGTAATAGAGAGGTTCTATAGACAGGGTCTCCCCCTTTGGTCCTAAATACATAGACACACACCCACTCTGCATTTTTCATTGCCAAGAATCTGTCTGCCTTCTGCCCTCTTAAGACAGGGGCACACACACACACCTGATTAACAGTCAGCTCCTCTGCCAGGGAGAGAGCAGGGAGAGTGTGTTGTGTGTCTGTATAGCTGACAGGACAGAACATTGATAGATTTATATACGTCCATGCAGTAATGTGTAAAACTCCATCATTCATTGTTAGCCTGGATCAACTTGCATTGTAACTCACTTTACACCACCCTACTACACTA